GGGCTTTTTCTACAAAAAAAGCCCTGACCACTGGGAATACCATTGCTTTGACCATGCGGACTTTTGTTGGCAGGGTGATGTCTCTAACAACTAAAGGCCATATGCAATAAATTGGAATCGAATCGACTTAACACAAGGTTGTACAGTAGTAATGGGTTCTTGTTTTGTATACATGTTGTAATAAACTCAATAATTTTTTAAAAAAACCTCTGCCTTGCTCTTCCTAAGCCCTTTAAGCAGTTCCTGCCCTCTGCTTTCTCCTGCTTCCCCTTGCCTCCCCTCACCCCCCCTGTGTAACTCGGCACCTTTCTGCAACGTCCCCTCCCTTCCTTGCCTCCAAACAAAGCTGCTTACTGTTTGCCTGAAGCAGAGCCCTTCTCTCCCTGGACAGGCAAACAAAAGCGGCTCAGAGGGAGAAGCCGAACGGCACCTCTGTAATCAATCCAGCAGACCCAGGTGGGCCAGGCAAAGGTGGACAGGCTGTGCCCAGAAAAGCATTCGTTTATGGCCCCTGAGACGTCAGACCTACCAAAGAGTTACATGGAATGTTATTAAACACTCAAGCGCTGTAGTGCGGCGATGGCCGCTCAGCACACATGGGCTTTAGACAAACTGAAAGAGGATACTTCAGGCAAGGGCTATTGGCCACAGTGCCTAAACGGAACCTGCATGTATAGAGGGAGTCTACCTCTGAATACCACCTACAGGAAAAGCAACTGTAGGGGGGACAAGGTGTATGCCACCCTGTCACCTCTGTTCTAAATGTGGGTTAAAGATGACCCTTAAGATGTCCCTAGGGTCTACTTTCCCCATAAGGGGGTGACTTTGCTAGAAGGAGGAGAAGGAGAGATTGGAATTACACCCCGCCCTTCACTTGGCGTCTCAGAGCGGCTTGCAAACTTCTTTCCCTTCCCCTCCCCACAACAGACACCCTGTGAGCTAGGCGGGGCCGAGAGAGCTCTTTCCAGAACTGTCCTTGAGAGAACAGCTCCGACAGAGCTATGGCTTGCCCCAGGTCCTCCAGCAGCTGCAAGTGGAGGAGTGGGGAATCAAACCCGGCATGCACTTAACCACTACACCCAACTGGCTCCGGGGGTGAGGGGTGGGATAGCACCATGCTGGGATAATGGCCAGGACCGACCACTGGTCTGATCCTGCAAGGCTCTTCTGATATTTCATCAATGTTGTTTCAGAGGGTGCCCGTCTGCAGCAGGAGAGCCAGACTTGAGACCAGTAGGCCATTTGAGAAGGAGCTGCGGTGGCTCAAGGGGTTAAGGCGCTGAACTGCAGGCTGTGGAAGGGCGGTCGTTCAGCAGTTCGAGACCCGAGTGTACTGCATGACGGAGTGAGCGCCCGTCTCTAGTTCCAGCTCCTGCCAGCCTAGCAGTTCGAAAGCGAGAAATTGCAAGGAGATAAATAGGGGCCACTTTGGTGGGAAGGGAACAGCGTTCCGTGCGCCTTGGTGTTTAGTCATGCCAGCCACATGACCACGGAAACGTCTTCGGACAGCGCCGGCTCTTCGGCTTTGAAACGGAGATGAGCACCGCAACCCTAGAGTCGGACTCAATTGGCTTTTGAGCAAGGGAACCTTTACCTTTAGGCCATTTGAGACCAGTAGGCCATTTGAGACCAACAAGATATTCGGCGCATGAACGTTCGAGAGTCCAAGCTTCATATCTGACGAAGGGACCTTTGACTTCTCGAAAGCTCACACTTGGAAAATGGTCTCTAAGGTGCTTCTGGACTGGAATCTAGCTCTTCTTCAATGTAGTAGAATCATAGAATCACAGAGTTGGAAGGGACACCCCAGGGTCATCCAGTCCACCCCCTGCACAATGCAGGAAATCCACAAATTCGTGAGTCATCTGAAGAAGTGAGCTGTGGCTCACGAAAGCTCACACACACCCTGCCATAAATTTTGTTCGTTTTTAAGGTGCTACTCGGCTCTTGCCTTTTCTATAGTTTTTGCTAAAAAACCTACTCCAATCGCACCTGCTATGGTCATTTGGCATCTGAAATCACCCCACTTCCCAAGATAGAAGGACAGATGGACTCACATTCTACCTGTATCTGAAGAAGTGAGCAGAGACTCACGAAAGCCCATACCTGTCAGGTAGCCCTGTCATAGGTCTGGAATATGGAGGGGCACCCTCCCGTTTTCTGTCTCAGCTTTCCCTGGCTCACCAACTGTTTGCTGTCTTATGCTTGACCTTGTAAATGTTACAGCTGCAGTTTTACATGGCTGGGAAAGTTAACGGCTTTTGCTTTGCCTGCTTGTGTTGCCCGCGGCACGAGATGTATTCATTGGCTCATGCTTACAGGGGGGATGGTTGATTCTAGTATCAGTCAGAGGCCCTAGTATTGGCAGCCGTTCCTGACATAAGCTGTACATGTGTCTCTAGTACTGGATCTACCAATAAACAGTTATCTTTTCATGAAGCCCTGTGTTGCGTAACCTGACTAAGGACCCTGACAATACCCTGCCACAAATTTTGTGAGTCTTTAAGGTGCTCCTGGACTCTTGCTCTTTTTTTACTACAAGAACGTGAGTCCATCTGTCCTTATATCTTGGAGAGGGGAGTGATTTCAGACAGATGGACTCACGTTCTAGCTGTATCTGACGAAGTGAGCAGTGACTCACGAGAGCTTCTACCCTGCCACAGATTCTGTTAAGTCTTTGAGGTGCTCCTGGACTCTTGCTCTTTTCTACTGCTGGAATACGAGTCCATCTGTCCTTATATCTCGGAGGGTGGAGCGACTTCAGACAGGTGGACTCCCATTCTCGCTGTACCTGAAGAAGTGAGCGGCGACTCACCAAAGCTCCCAGCCTGCCACATATTTTGTGAGTCTTTAAGGTGCTTTTGGACTTACTCTTTTCTCTAAGTCTGAAGTTGCAAAATAAGAGTGAAAAAGTATATAATAAAAGATGGGTTAAGGTGTATGATTGGATAGAAACACTGAACATATGAGACTCTCCTATATATGTTATTATGATTTTGGAATGTTAATATTGTAAAACCAAATAAAAATATTATTTTAAAAAAAAATCTGTGGCAGGCTAGGAGCTTTCGTGAGTCATCTGAAGAAGTGAGCTGTGGCTCACGAAAGCTCACACACACCCTGCCATAAATTTTGTTCGTTTTTAAGGTGCTACTCGGCTCTTGCCTTTTCTATAGTTTTTGCTAAAAAACCTAATCCAATCGCACCTGCTATGGTCATTTTGCGTGCTATTGTCATTTGGCATCTGAAATCACCCCACTTTCCAAGATAGAAGGACAGATCGACTCACATCCTAGCTGTATCTGAAGAAGTGAGCAGAGACTCACGAAAGCCCATACCTGTCAGGTAGCCCTGTCATAGGTCTGGAATATGGAGGGGCACCCTCCCGTTTTCTGTCTCAGCTTTCCCTGGCTCACCAACTGTTTGCTGTCTTATGCTTGACCTTGTAAATGTTACAGCTGCAGTTTTACATGGCTGGGAAAGTTAACGGCTTTTGCTTTGCCTGCTTGTGTTGCCCGCGGCACGAGATGTATTCATTGGCTCATGCTTACAGGGGGGATGGTTGATTCTAGTATCAGTCAGAGGCCCTAGTATTGGCAGCCGTTCCTGACATAAGCTGTACATGTGTCTCTAGTACTGGATCTACCAATAAACAGTTATCTTTTCATGAAGCCCTGTGTTGCGTAACCTGACTAAGGACCCTGACAATACCCTGCCACAAATTTTGTGAGTCTTTAAGGTGCTATTGGACTTACTCTTTTCTACTGCTAGAATATGAATCCATCTGTCCCTGTATCTTGGAGAGTAGGATGATTTCATATATAAGGACAGATGGACTCCCATTCTCGCTGTATCTGAAGAAGTGAGCAGTGACTCACAAAGGCTCCTGCCCTGCCATGAATTTTGTGTCTTTAAGGTGCCCCTCGGCTCTTGCTCTTTTCTACTGCTGGGCTATGAGTCCATCTGTCCTTAGACCTTGGATTTCAGACAGATGGACTCATATTTTCTACTGGGAAAGCATCTGCTTGGCATGCAGAAGGTCCCAGGTTCAAACCCCGGCATCTCCAGTTAGAAGGAGACCCTGGAGAGCCACTGCCAGTCCGAGCAGACAATGCTGACTTGAGGCAGCTTCATGTTTCCATGTGACTCGGTAGCACTCCGTGTATATGCATCTGCACCGAGTCGTTTCACTGCTGAAACAAAATGCTGGGAGACGAAATACTTCCTTTTTTCCCGTTTAAATCTTTTTATTGGGTTTTCAATATGCCACATATATATCACATACACTCCAACTAACATTGTGCATACAAATACGTCAAGATACCATCATTTCCACCCTTAGGGATAAAAGCTAAGACACAAATTTACCATTTTATGTACGCCTTTCTAATTTTATCTAATATCTATTAACTTGTTTCTCATTTAGTTCAACCTTTTTCTATAGACTTTGGACTCTCCATTTGAAATGCTCACAGTTTTCTGTTGAAAATTACCTTCTTTTAAGTTTTAAACTGTTAGGCATTCATTACAAACATGTACTATAAATTATGTGATTTTAATGTATTGTATATTGTTTTTCGATGTATTGTTTTATTGCTTTTATTGTTGTAAGCCGCCCTGAGCCGCTTCGGTGGGAGGGCAGGGTAAAAAATCAAATAAATAAATAATAAATAAATAAAAATATATTTCCTATTCACCCACAACACTTAATACACATAATTAACCTACTAATTTATCCTCTATACTATAAATAAAATCATCTATGGTGGAGTACCAAATCCATTCCTATTCCGAAATACTTCCTAACTTCTTCACTTTGAAAGAATCGGGGAGAAGCCGCCCAAGGCTACAATCCAGAAAAGGGGGCCAATACCCCCCCTTGCCAACTTTGTCCCTTTCCCCTTGGGGTCCTACAACCGCTTGCACCCTCTTGCATATTTATTTGTGCCCTGCCCGGAGATGTGCCCCAACCGGCCCCCGTGCCAGTCCTCCCAGCTTACCTGCCTGCCCGCTCTTGCTTCTCAGGGGAGACGCCAGGTCAGGCGAGCCCTCGAGCGATCCTGGTGGGGTTGGCATGAGGAAGTCCACGGGAAACTTCTGGAAGGGGGCAGAGGGAGGAAGGGGAAAGTTAAGAACTGGTCGTTGGGGAGAAGCAAGCGAGGGTTCCAGGTGGGATGTGTGGCCGGGAAACACTTCAGGCTCCTCGAGCCGTGCAAACAGGTGGACCGATCGCAGTGTGTCTGAGTCCAGGAGCGGACGGCTTCCCACACTAAAGGGCAGGGGGAGGGAATGCCAGCACAGGCGGCAAAGGAGCTCTCGGCTCTCGAGGGCTCTGTTGCCAAGGAACCGGCCGAGAGGAGTTTTGGTGGGAGGGGAAGAGGGCGAAGTGGGATGGCAGGCAGGAGGCCCGTTCAGGGCTCCAGGGGCCTGGATTGCAGGGAGGGCGCTCTTGAGGAGGAGGTCTCGGCGGGCCAGGCCACACCCTCCCTATTTACTTTTTTAGGTGGGTGCAGATATGGGTAAAAACAGAAGCTAGCAAGGGGCTTTTTGCATTCGTGAGGTGGGTCCGGAGAGGCAGTTTGGTGCAGTGGATCGGAGCGCGGACTCTAATCTGGGAGAACCGGGTTTGATTCCTCTCTCCTCCGCATGCAGCTGCTGGTGTGACCTTGGGTCAGTCACAAGTTCTTTCAGGAGCTCTTGTGATTTTTGTGATTTTAATGTACTGTATAGATTGTTTTAGAGGTATTGTTTTATTGCTTTTATTGTTGTAAGCCGCCCTGAGCTGCTTTGGCGGGAGGGCGGGATAAAAATTGAATAAATAAATAAATAAATAAACAAACTCTCTCAGCCCCTTACCTCACAGGGTGTCTGTTGTGGGGAAGGGAAGGGAAAGGAGATTTTAAGCTGCTCTGAGACTCTGAGTGAAGGGGAGGGTGTAAACCCAATCTCTTCTTCTTCTCTTCCCTCCCCTTTGCAGTGAAGATCTAAGAACACAGTTCATTGATCTGTTAGGTTCCAACACTGACTTGCCCGTAGGAGATAAGCTTCATCTCTTGCTTAGTGGCTCCGATTCACCCGTTGCAGTTCCAGTAGCGAAATTTCTCCTGGGCTCGTTTGGATGTAAGACACATGAGGTGAATTCGAAGAATTTATGTATTACTAAGTAAGCAAAGTGTGGTAAATAAAATAAGGGCAAATAAGGAATAAGAATTGTAAAACTGGGAAATCAGGTGTTATTTGGCAAGTTTTATTGAGTGTAATAAAAGCGTTGCCCAAGATAAGTGGAGTATAATTCACATTTGAAAATGGACTAGCTTGCAGCTGTTAGCTGATGTCGGCCTTGTGACTTCTGCTGTGGTTAAGTTTTTGCTTCTGATATTTAGTAGCATTCTCAAGTGGTTAAGACGCTGAAGTGCAGGCTGTGGAAGGTCAGTAGTTCAGCAGTTCGAGACCCGAATGTGCCGCATGACGGAGTGAGCTCCCGTCTCTAGTGCCAGCTCCTGCCAACCTAGCAGTTCGAAAGCAAGAAATTGCAAGTAGATAAATAGGTACCACTTCGGTGGGAAGGTAACAGCGTTCCGTGCGCCTTGGTGTTTAGTCATGCCGGCCACATGACCACGGAAACGTCTTCGGACAGCGCTGGCTCTTCGGCTTTGTAACGGAGATGAGCACCGCAACCCTAGAGTCGGACTCGACTGGCTTTCGAGCAAGGGGGATTTAACATCCTGGAACATCTCGTGGTTTTTTTCCTCCCCATCAGTGCTTCCCCCTGGTGTTCGGCTGTGAGTGCTGCGAGCCAAGTGGAAACCAAGATGTTTAGCGCGGTCGCAATGATGACCAGTGTTCCCTCTAAGCTGAGTTAGTGTGAGCTAACTCGCAGGTTTATAGCCTCCGGCTCACACATTTTTGGCCTCGGCTCAGGAAGGGATGGCTCCAGAGCAAACCAATTTATGCAGTAGCCAAATCGCTCGCTCACAACTTGGATGCCAGTAGCTCAGAGAGTAGAATTTTTGCTCACAAGACTCCACAGCTGAGAGGGAGCATTGATGATGATTAAAAATGTATTTTATGTTGCTTCATTTATACCGTGCCCTTTCATCCCCGGCGGGACCCGAAGAGGCTCACAATGTTTCTCCCCATCTCCATTTTATCCTCGCAACAACCCTATGAGGTAGGGTTAAGCGAAGAGGAAGTGTGGCTCAGTGGCAGAACCTCCGCTGGCGTGGAGAAGGTCCCAAGGTCCGATCCCCGGCATCTCCAGTTCAAAGGACCAGGCAGTAGCCGGTATGAAAGACCACTGCCTCAGACCCTCAAGAGCCGCTGCCAGTCTGAGTAGACACTGACCTTGATGGACTCAGGATCTGACTCAGTAGAAGGCAGCTTCATGTGTACGTTCATAGCTCGAGTTCAAATCCTCACTCGCTCCTGAACCTATCTGGGTGACCTCG